ATTGATAAACATAAACAATTACAATATATATTTTTGAAAGCATTCTTTACAGCATTTTTTCATACCTGCCTAAAACGTTTGCATAGTACTGTATGTACCAAAACAAGTCCACTGGTTCCTAAACCCAGGTACATAGAATTGCAGCAAAGAATGGAAACCATATAACTATGTACATTTAAAAGTTATAATTTAAGTAGCTCAGGAGATATCTAGTAATGTATAGCAGACTTCTTTACAAACTTCTTTACATTTATGTAACTGTAACTTCTTTACATTTATCCATGAATACATGAGTACAGGACACTTATTCATCATATATTTTTCAAACTTGAAGGAATAGTGTATTCACCTGCATCATTGATATAATATTTCAGCTAGCAAACATGTACTATGCAAGTGATCAATGTATTACAATAAGAGTCACCAGAATATTACATACATCTTTTTCCCAAGTGAAACAGATAAGCACCTAAATAATGTAATCTATACTGTAGTCCTAAGTGGAAATGCAGACTTACTTAAAAAAATGATAGAAAGTGCAAGATGCAGTTATTTGAGTTAACCAAACATGCACACAACATATATCATATAAATGATTGAAAGCAGCATATCAAAAATGACTTCATCTGTCCTCAAAATGACTTCATTGGTCACAAGATCATGTATCTTCGTAAAGGAATTCAACCAAACTAGATAACTTATAATGTCACTTTCATGATAGGCAGCAGGAATTAAAAGCAAGGCAGAAATACGTATCACAAAAGTCATACAATATACAAATAGGGAAGGAATTGCAGGTGGCATTTCTGTTTAGGAATCAGAACCGGAATAGTAATCTACAAGGACATTCTTTTTGTTCTGTAGTTGATCTTATAAGTAGTATAACAAACACCAATTACTGTGGTTTTTTTCTCCAGAATAAGGAAAATTTGCAGGAGTTAAAGATGCAAGATATTTCATGAAATAAAGCAGAGGAGTAATTCATTAAGCTGTTGCATACTGTTGACATCCAACTACTTAAACCATGTTGAAAAAGGCACAAAGGATAGTTGACCAATTATACATGGAGTAGGCCCAAACCAAGGGAGACATTTCAAGCTGAAATTACAATTTTTCTTTGTGTCTAGAAACAAAATTTGGGGAGGTACTACAACAAACAAGACAGAAGATACTGATTATGAAATAATTAAATCTTTTATCATGAAAACTTTAAAAAATCAGATTCAATTTTTAATTTGAAGGAAATAGATTAAATAAACATTAAATTATCTATTGCATTTAAATTTACATTGACATGATTAAGATACCAACCTTACAACAAAGAATTACAATGGCATTTAAGACCTAAAGTAACTAGAACCTCTATACTTTTAAAAACATTGCATTCTATGCTTGGTATTTGGAATGTGCTGTTTGTGTATTGTTATTCACAAATAAAGAAAAGCTTTATATTTCATAAAATTATAATCAGATACCCAATGGAATTCTAAATTACTTATTTTACAATGTTGAGGTATATCCTTCATTAAAAAAAAAGAGTAGCTCAATAAACTAGATAAAAGTAAAAAAAAAAAAATCCAGCATGAAAAATCCATCCCTATGCCTAAAAATAATTTCAAAGTACAATTTTAAAGTATTGCAATTATATTTGTTTCAGGTGGGAATGCAATATTTTCTTCCAGAAAATATGTGTTCAGTTGATCCATCAAATTCTCTTCAGAATTAACGTCTCTTGGAAAATTCCTTCTGATTCACAAGAGGATCAATGAAAACCAGGATCTAGGCCTGGCTCACTCGGCGTTTCACTGCCTTTCTTAAAATCTTTGAATGTCACAGGAACAGTGGTCTAGATGAAAGGAAAACAACGTTATTTGCAAGCTAACTAGCTGAAGTAACTTACTTTCTTTAACGTGAAATAGACGAGAGGCATATCTAGTTTATTATTACTATTAGCATGCAGATCATCCTATATGGGACCTAATCAGCAGGCTGCTCTGTCTTTCTTTTTCACCACCAGGGAGATGTGGAATTTTTGAACAGTTGCTTGGATGCACGTGGGCAAACATCCTGATGCTTAGTCCAAATGAAATGCTGTGGACAGGTAACAGTCAGTCTTGGAAGGAGTTACAGCTGAAGAACCAAAGTCATGGCTACGAGTTCGGCTAGACTTCAAATTGTCTATGGTGTGCAGGTATCATTTGTATTTAATCACCTTTGTCTCTTTGTGAGAAGCTTAGAACTGTGCTCAGTTAGCCATCACTGATGTCATGCAGATTAGATTTGCAAAGGACTTTATGCAGGGCTGTCTTTAAAGACAGCTGGGAAATTTCAATTAGATCAGAATGCAGCCAAATGGATGCACGTTGTGGCCAAGTATTAGTAGTATATTACACAGGTATTTTATCAATTGCGTTAGGCTTTGCTGCATTTCCAGGATCAATGCCAGCTCATTGAAACAAAAAGCCTCAGGTTTGCTCCAGAACTGGGAAGTCTTGTGGACGTCTCTCCGGCATTGGTCTAGCAACTTTTCCTTACTACAAGGGAATAAATCCCCTTCAGAATAATGTTTAGGCTTATATATACTACAATTAAATAAAAGGAAAAACATTAAAAAGGAATAAATGAAAAGAACTGTATTTTTTTTATAATGCTCCCTCAGCAGAATCCATTCATACATTTGATCGCATGATCAATTTCTATTTTAATAACACTGGCTGTATAAGTTATATGCCAACTTAATTCTAAAAATCAAAACATGCCAGATAGGACTTGTAAAATTTCCAAGGATACCCAGGTAATCGGTTGGCTCACTTCCCTCCCTTAAAGTCTCCAATAAAAATGACTATAAATTATTAAGAGAACAGTGGTTTCATTTCCCTTGAAGCTAGTAAAATATTGTCAAATTTGGCAATAGTATAAGGAATTGTTTATGTGTTTTTTCAAACTCCTTTATAAAATCAAATATAACTGAACGTGAGGTAAATTATGGGCTTATACACAAGTATATACAGAATATACAAGTACTTTAAAAAGTATTACTGTATATACTTGTTATCTGTTGGGATGCAATGGGAAATGCTGTGCAGGCTTCCAATTATAAAACTGCAAAGCAATTAAAATCTTCAATTTTTCCAATGGCCTTCTTGTTGACTTTCTCAGAGTCTGATATGTTTTATATGGTTTTTATCAGATAATTTTTCTGAGACAAGTATTTCACATTCTAAGAGCCAAAACAAATGACCAGCCACTTAAAAGCTCAAGGAATACTCTAGTATTCTAGTATCATATATCAATTTATAGGATTCTGCAAATCTTCGGAATAAAGCTTGGATGTACTTTCTCATTTTCCAGGGAAAAAATAAAACTAACCGACTGTGCACATGTGCGCACACACACAAGCAGAGACAGCCAACAGCAATTTCCAAAACAGCTTTGCAAACCTGGAAAAGGATGTGGCTTTTAATTATTTAAAGAGAGGTGCTTTGTATGTGCTTCTCTATATTCAGAAATACCTCTTTGGAAGGATTTGCAGAGTCCCATTATTTAATTTTTTAAAAAATCCTCTTACCTCCTGAGTAGTAGTTGGAACCAACTCTTCAGGTAAGTCACGGTTATCCCTTCGTAAGGCATTCTTCAATACAGTCACTTGCTGCAATCCTACACTTACTGGGACAGGGCCAACATGTTCTGCTCCCTGACATATTAAAGCAGATCGATGTACGTGATCTGCAGACTTCTGTACATTGGCTGGCATTATTCCTAACTGTTGTAGCACAATGTTCAGAACTAAGGTGCTCTGAGACTGGGAAGGATTAACATGGACTGAAGCAACAGCACTACTATTCCCTGAGGTTGTGGTCTCTACAGAAGGTGGTGGTAGCATTAGGTTAAGAGGTGTTATGTGAAAAGTAGGGAAACTAGATGTCACTGGAATTCGACCTATGGCAAAGAAGAAAGAGAACACACTATTACAAGAGAACATACTTTATGCCATGGGACTTGTATGAATATGCAAAAAGCAATTTAGTACAGCCAAATACTGTGAATGTGGAGAAGGTGGCAATTAAGCATCAAGAAGCAACGGGTTTGAGAAGAGGTACTGACCAAGGCTGACCAAATTTCTCTGCAGCCAAAAAGCTTCATATGTAAATAATTATATCTGATTTCCATATCTCAAACCCTGCATTCCTTAACTGTTGATAGAAGATGTCAAAATGAATTCCCTCTGAGTAACTGTGGCGTGGTCAACATATACTTACTTAGAATAGAAGAATCATAGGATTTCTTTTCCATTGCACACAACTCAGTTTTCTCCTTACTGGACACAGCAACTTCACTGGAGACTTTAATGTCCTGAGGAAAAGGTAAGAGATAATATGGAGGAAACAAAATCTAACCCCCTGCCCTACCCCCACCCAGTATTATGTACTATATATCTACAGTCTAATCACTGTCATCATTTTTCACTTTTCCTCTGCAACCAATTGCTCATATCAGTGTTGTCCAAACTTGGCCACTTTAAGATGAGTGGACTTCAACTCCCAGAATTC